TTGAAGTCCACTCATCTTAAAGTGGCCAAGTTTGGACAACACTGAGCTAGTCCAACCCCCTGCCCAGGGCAGGAATCCACCACTACAGCATCCCTCACAGAGGGCCATCCAGCCTCTTCTGACAGGTCCAAAAAAAATGGAGATCCCATCACCTTCCAAGGGAATCCAAGGCAGTCTTGGTCCTTCCCCCAAAATCTACTTCCTTGAAATTTAACTCCTCGTTTCTTGTCTTCTAGACTACTCTGAGGAATTCCGTCCCATCTTCCCCCTGGCAGCCCTTCAGATGCTTGAAGACAACTCTCTTCTCTCTCTCCTTGCAGTCTTCTCCAAGCTGAACATCCCCAAAGTTCCTCACACGTTTTTCCTTCCAGGTCCCACCATCTTGGCTGGACTCCTCTGCACGTGTTCCAGTTTGCCCATATCTTTCCTACAATGGGGTGCCCAACCCTGGATCCAATATTCTAGGTGAGGTGTGCCCAACACAAAATAGGAGCAACTTCTTCTCTTGATCTTAGCACCATACCTCTGTTGATGCCACCACAAATTGCAACTTCCACCCTTAAGCCTCCATCTCCTCCAAAATGCAAAGAAAGATGGAACGTGTTTAGCCTCTCCCACCCAGACCCGCTCTTGGAGGTTCTTGGAAGCCAAAGTATTTTCCCCAAAGATGTCCCCATCACTCGGGCCAAGAAGGTGGCCCATCCTTGGTTTACCTTGACAAATTTCTCAGAAGGGGCAAAGCAGCCCACACATAAGGACACCAGGATCCATCCTCTGGCGTGGCTGTTTTTGGAAGGGTTTTGGGTCAGCTGTTTGCAGATTTGGCAGTAAATTTCATCTCTGCCACAAGAAGAAGAAAAGTCCACTTGAATGAGATGCCCCAATTTCACCTGCTAACAAAATCCATTTGCCAAATATTGGAAGAAGCTGTGCTCTAAACCCGCTGACATGTAGTGGAAAACCAGGGGTGTCCACAGGGACGAAGTCAAAAAAGTCAAGATGGCACCACAACCATGCAATCAAAGCCCAGCATTGCTCATAAGAAGCAAGCAGAGCTTCAATCACACCACCATGGCTGCCTGTTGACTTTTTTGACCCCTCCCCATGGACCCTCCTGTTATGGACTTTAGATGCTGTTGTTTCGGAGTAGAGTACATGTCCTCAATGCGCCCACCGAACATTTCTGCTTTTTCGTCTGATCTCTAACCTTAAGGTTGGCCTCAGGATGCCGTTACCAATAATGAAATGGAGTTTCTCCAAATTGGAGGTCGGGCGGTCCTCTAGCATGCTGTTCCCCTGGACGGTGGACTCGCCATCGTGAAGGCGCTTGGTCACCTGAGAAAGCAACAGGGCACAGGTGCAGTTTGTGAAATAGGCCAATCTGGCGTCAGTCCCCCCCCCAACCCAAGGCAAGCAGGAACCTGAGGAGGATTCATTCTTCGCCCTCTTCTCAATCTATCTGGAATCAGGCTACAGAGCTGGGCTGGAGAGCCGTAGCTCTTCGGCTGCAGCTGGAGTGCAACTCCCAGCTTCCACAATCAGAAGGGACAAGGAACCGTGGGTTTAAAGGACAAGAAATTAAAATTCCCTATTGCTAAGAGCCAGTCATCAGTGGAACAGCCTGCCTTGGGAGGGGGTGAGTTCTCTTTTGCTGAAGATGCCCAGGCAAAGGCCGGAAGGCCATCTCTTGGGGCTGCTGTAGTACAGGTGGTCCTTGCTTAACAACCATTCGTTTAGTGACCATTTGAAGTTACAATGGTGCTAAAAAAAGTGACTTACGACCATCCCACCACCCACACGGTCATGGGTTCACGATCAGGGCGCTTGGCAACCAGCTTGCCTTTACGATGGTCACACCGTCCCAGGATCACGCGATTGCCATTTGCGACCTTCCCAGCCAGCTTCCGGCAAACAAAATCAATGGGGAACCACACAATTTGCTTAACGACCATGTGATTCGCTTAATGACCACAGTGATTCACTTAATGACTGCTGCAAAAAAGGTCGTAAAATCGGGTCTGATTTGCTTAACAACTGCCCTGCTTAACAACTAATTTTCCGGTCCCTATTGTGGTTGTTCAGTGAGGACTACCTGTAGTAGATTTATTTATTTATCCAATTTATATGGCCACCCATCTCAACCAGGGATCCTGGGAGGCGAACAGAATATAAATGGAATAAAAACAATAGCAAACATTATCAAAATTAAAAGATAGGCAGCTGGGAAACATCGAGCCTAAACATAAATATAAACATAAATGTAGCTGAGATGCCTGCCCTGAGCAAGGGGTTGGACTAGATGACCTTAAGGAATTTCCAGACCTTACCTTGCCCTCTATCATTCTCTTTTGAAGGATGCTGGGAGATGTACTTCAACTCTAGGATCCTCATCTCTGCTGTACAGCCATTCATTCCCAATTAATATTTCTCAACCTGGGTAACTTCTAGAGGTGTGGACTTCAACTCCCAGACTTCTCAGTAATGACTGTGCTGGCTTGGTAATTCTGGGAAAGTCTACTCAGGTTGGGGAACATGGTTCTAAACCAGTGTTTCTCAACCTTGGCAGCTTGAAGATGTGTGGACTTCAACTCCCAGACTTCTCAGTAATGACTGTGCTGGCTTGGTAATTCTGGGAAAGTCTACTCAGGTTGGGGGAAATGGTTCTAAACCAGTGTTTCTCAACCTTGGCAGCTTGAAGATAGGTGGGTTTTAAACTCCCACAAAAACCCCCTACACCCCCCCGGCGGCGGGGATGTTTGTTGG